GTTCAGAAAAAGATTTATTTTATATTTTAGACATTTATTTCCAGGGAATATCTCTCATATTACAGCAGAGAGACAATTATTCTATATAATATCAGTTAGAGAATTCTCAGTGAGGAGCAGATGAGAGATAGGTTAAGAAATGAAGTTTGAGTGTCTCTGTCTAGTTCAGAATCTCACCACCAGGAGGACACACCAGTACAGTAGTTCAGAATCTCACCACCAGGAGGACACACCAGTAGTTCAGAATCTCACCACCAGGAGGACACACCAGTAGTTCAGAATCTCACCACCAGGAGGACACACCAGTAGTTCAGAATCTCACCACCAGGAGGACACACCAGTACAGTAGTCTGAATCTCACCACCAGGAGGACACACCAGTAGTTCAGAATCTCACCACCAGGAGGACACACCAGTAGTTCAGAATCTCACCACCAGGAGGACACACCAGTACAGTAGTTCAGAATCTCACCACCAGGAGGACAGTCAATCTAATTCATTTGTCAACATAAACACTTAGAAAATCAGTAATGGAAGAATATGGCATTAATATAAAGGGTACTAGCATAATTATACATTCTTGTGCCCACCTGTGCCCACCAGTGCCCACCAGTGCCCACCAATATACCCATGAAGCACCATTATCCTAAAATATATTCCCTTGCATCAGTCAAGGTCTTTAAATGACCCAAATCTCCTAAAATGACTTAAAACGGTCATCTCATACCCTTAATTGACTTAAAATGGTCTTCAAATATCCCAGAATGACTTAAATGGACCAAAAATATCATCAAATCCCTTAAAATGTCCCCATATATCTTCAAATACCCCCAAATATCTCCAAAATATCATCAAATGCCCTAAAATGCCCTAAAATGTCTCCAAATATCTTTAAATGCCCTAAAATATCTTCAAATAGCTCGTAGAAACACACTCCTAAAATGACCCTTTAAACTTTCCTTCCTCCTCCTCTTCTTCTTCCTCCTCCTCCTCCTCTTCCTCTTCCTCTTCCTCCTCCTCCTCTCTCTACATCCACACGCCATGCCCATGCCCTTCGTCACTCGGGCATATTACTGGGAAGGTAGAGGGGAGTTAACTTGGGCATACCTAAGCTCCCCGTCTTCACCGAGAATTTTACGGAAAAAGTTACGTGTCAGCATATACAAAGACGGGGAGTCTTCACAGGGCATAGCTTCTGAGGGCCAACCGCACGTCATGGAGTCCTGCAAAGGTGGAGTGAAGATTGTGGTTAGGTTAGGTTTGGTTAGGTTAGGTTAGGTTAGTGACTACGACTATTACTACCACTACTATTATTACTACTACAATTATTACAACAACTATTATTACTACTGCAACTACAAAACAACAAATACTACAACAACTACAACAATTACTACAGGAAAAACAACAACAATCAGTCTACTCACCTGCATGAACACCGTCAAGTTGGGGCAGATAAACGAATAATGGAAGATGAGGTCAGGTACAATATCGGTACCGTAGATTTTTCGAAGAGGAACACACAAGTGGTACAGTTGACACTCATTATCCACATCAGCATAGTAGCCATACTCCTGTGGATATTGTGGATGGTGTTAGGTGTGGGTATATAGTAGATCAGGTGGATTTAGAGGAGGTAGATAGTATTAGGTGAAGTAGATAGCACACACACACACACACACACACACACACACACAGACACACACACACACACACACACACACACACACACACACACAGACACAGACACACACACACACACACACACACACACACACACACACACACACACACACACACACACACACACACACACAACAACTCACCATGTCTACACAGCTGAACGTATCCTTAACAACGGGTCTGATCTTAGTATAATTTGAGATGAGTTTGTTATGAATAGGACCTTCTGGTATTGAGACCAAGGCGGCCCTATAGAGCTGGGCACCTGACGGGGCATTACGTAGGACATGTTCTAGATTGCTGTCGCTAAGGGCATTGCTATAGGGAGAGCTAACTAAGGGCTCGTTGTCCTCCTCAGGTCTACTAGCCCTTAGGGAGATGAGTGGTGATCCCTGCTGTGAAGGTATACTTGATAGCTGATGTTGATATTGATTCTGACTGATCCTCGTGTCTTGTGGGGCATTGTGTGCGTACTGGCTTGGTGATACTGGGGCATTGTGTGCGTACTGGCTTGGTGATACTGGGGCATTATCATCCTCATATACCAAGGGGATGTTGATTCCATGATTGGCTTGGGCTTTAAGGGCTTCCTGGTAAGTCATTTTCACAGGGACTGAGTAAGCCACGTCATCAGAGCCATAGCGGTACAGTGGTGAGCCTTTTCTTCTGGGGATTTTAGCTGCTAGGGCGCCACACACCACTGAAAATTCATATCAAAACATTATATGACGTCAGTGTTGATATGGCGGTACAGACACGAACCAAAACAATTCGTGACGTTATTGTTTGTGACAGAGACGTAAACAAAGCAAACATGAGAGACGAACCAAAACAATTCGTGACGTTATTGTTTGTGACAGAGACGTAAACAAAGCAAACATGAGAGAGAGAGAGAGAGAGAGAGAGAGAGAGAGAGAGAATATACCCACCAGCCAATAGGATAAGAGCCAGCTTCATGACGGAGGTAAGGTCAGGTCAGGTTGGGGTCACAGGTCACAACAAATCTGAAAATAGAGAAAATTTATATTTATATAACTCTAAATATTTATTGTTATATGAAAACTAATAATTGAAGGATTTATTTAGGTAGAGACAGACAGACAGGCAGGCACACAGACAGACAGACAGACAGACAGACAGACAGGCAGACAGACAGACAGACAGCCAGACAGGCACAGATAGACAGACAGACAGACAGACAAGCAGATAAAGACAGGCAGAAAGAGAGGGAGACAGGCACACAGACAGACAGACAGACAGACAGACAGACAGGCAGACAGACAGAAGAGAGGGAGAGACAGACAGACAGAGAGATAATCTATTTTTCTCCTCTCTATCTCTCTCTCTCTCTCTCTCTCTCTCAGTGAACAAAAGAACAATAATGAACTAGATACAATGAACAGGTGGGTGGGGGAGAATGTGCAGACGACAAGGGAGAGGAGGGTGGGGCGGAAGGAGGGGAGGGGGGGTAAGGGTGGGAGGGGGTAAGGGTGGAGGGAAAGGACATGCTTGACTCTTGGGGAGGAGGGGGGGTGTGGGCGGTGGGAGGAGGAGGGGGAGAGGGGGAAGGGGAGAGGGGGGAAAGGGGGAGAGGAGGGAGGGGAGGGGAAGGACAATGGCCCCGCCGAGTAGCCAAGACTACAAGGAGGTTGCCCGTGTCCTGCTTCCTCCCTTCCCTCCCTCCCTTCCTCCTCCTCCTCTCCTCCCCTTCCTCCTCCTCCCCTCATCATCCTTTCCTCCTTGTTTTCCGTCTATCCTTTCTTCAGCCCACTTCCTCCCCAGACATTACCCTTCCTCCTCCTCCTCCTTCCTCCTCCTCCTCCTCCTCCTCCTCCTCCTGCTTCCCTTTTCTCCTCCATTTCCTCCCTCCTTCTTTCTTACACCTACCCTTTCTTCACCACGCCCCTACCTTCTCACCTCCCTCTCCTCCCCTTCCTCCCCCTTTCCCCTCCTCTGCTTCCTCCCCTTCCCTCTCCTCCCCCTCCCCCTTCCTCTCTTCTCAGGTATCAGTTGTCTCACTTGCTTGATATACTCACCGTCTGACCTCCCATGCCCTTAGCTATGCCCTGACCTTGCCCTTAACTATGCCCTATGTGACCTCACTTAACTATGCCTTGTGTGACCTTTCTTGCACTTAACTATGCCCTCCTCTTACCCTTAACTATGCCCTCCTCTTACCCTTAACTATGCCCTCCTCTTGCCCTTAACTATGCCCTTCTCTTACCCTTAACTATGCCCTCCTCTTGCACTTAACTATGCCCTCCTCTTACCCTTAACTATGCCCTCCTCTTGCCCTTAACTATGCCCTCCTCTTACTCTTAACTATGCCCTCCTCTTGCCCTTAACTATGCCCTCCGACCTCTCTTGCCCTTAACTATGCCCTCCTCTTGCCCTTAACTATGCCCTCTGTGATTTGAAGATCTCATATATTAAGTGCCCTTGTGTGACCTAAAATGCCTTCAGATACACACAAATGACCTAAAATACCCTTCAGTGACCTAAATACCTTTAAGTATACCTTAATGCCCCAAAATGCCCTTACGTATCCCTCAATGTCCTAAAATGCCCTAAGTTACCCACGATGTCACTAATTCCCCCCTCAATTACCTAAAATGTCCTTAAATCACCTCCTTTGACCTAAAATCCCCTTAAATCACCTCCTTTGACCTAAAATCCCCTTAAATCACCTCTTTTGACCTAAAATCCCCTTAAATCATCTCATTTGACCTAAAATTCCCTTAAATCACCTCCTTTGATGTAAATTCCCCTTAAATCACCTCCTTTGACCTAAAATCCCCTTAAATCATCTCATTTGACCTAAAATCCCCTTAAATCACCTCCTTTGACCTAAAATCCCCTTAAATCACCTCCTTTGACCTAAAAATCCCCTTAAATCACCTTCTTTGACCTAAAATACCCTTAGGTCACCTCCTTTGACCTAAAATCCCCTTAAATCACCTCCTTTTACCTAAATACCCCTAGGTCAACCCACCACGGTGATATAACTTACCTTAATGATGTTTCTCCGTTAACAAATGGCCTCAACTTGTCAGATCGAGCGCGTGATGTCAGAGATTCTTGCCAGGTGATGTCAGCACCGTCAGGAGAGATAGAGAGACTGACTGACACACACACACACAGGGCAGGTGGTAGTACTATACCATTAAGAGCTACCTGACGAAGGCGGAGGTGGGGCACTTAATGTTTACCTGTGTCCTGGTGACTCGGTTTTATACCCCACCTAGAGAGGGACGTCTCTGGGTGGGCAGGGTGGGTAATGGTGGTGGTGGTGGGGGTTGTTTGGTGGGGGGGATTGGGGATAAGAAGGTGGATAAGTGATTGACCAATGGGCACTTGACCTTAGCGGGGCACTGGTGGGGGGGTATATTTTCCTAATATGTCAACAACAACAAGAGGATGATGGAAAAATGCATTAGACTTTGCAATTCATGAACCACTTCTTGCAGTTGTCAAAATTGTTCACATCTTTTGATAAGTGTTCATATTATCGAGGCAGTCATCGTACTCAAGGGGTTAAGTTATTGTACTCAAGGGACCAAGTAATCATACTCAAAGAGGGAGTTTAAGACATCGTACTCAAGGATCATATCATCGTACTCAATAAAGTCATCATACTCAAGGGATTAAGAATTATATAACAGCTGTTTCAGAAATAAATACGAGTTATATTACAAATAATTCAAAGGTAAATAATAATTATATAAAATGTTCAATAATTATATAACCTTCCTAAGGCTATAGAATTACTATAGGAATTATTATACGTCTTTTAACATCTAAGATATTATATAACCTGGAATTATAGGTATTTGGGAATTAATATAATCTGGATATATGATAATTTGTTATATCGAGTAGTGTATGATGCGTTGTTTTTATTTTGTGTTTGTTGTTGTTTTAAAGACGTGTGTGTGTGTGTGTTTGTGTGTGTGTGTGTGTGTGTGTGTGTGTGTGTGTGTTTTATTGGGTAGGATTGAGTGTTTTAGCAGGATAGGGTCATGGCCAAGATGGAAGGTCACCAGGATAGGGTCATGGCCAGGTTGGAAGGCACACCAGGATAGGGTTATGGCCAGGATGGAAGGTCACCAGGATTGGGTCATGGCCAGGATGGAAGGCACACCAGGATAGGGTCATGGCCAGGATGGAAGGTCAGGGCCAGGATAGGGTCATGGCCAGGATAAGGTCACCAGGATAGGGTTATGGCCAGGGATGGAAGGCCACTGGTGATAGGGTTATGGCCAGATGGAAGGTCACCAGATAGTTATGGCTGCTTGTGATGAGTGTCACCAGGATAGTCATGGCCAGGATGGAAGGTCAGCCAGGATAGGTCATGGCCAGGTTGGAAGCACACCAGGATAGGGTTATGGCCAGGATGGAAGGTCACCAGGATTGGGTCATGGCCAGGATGGAAAATACCAGATAGGGTCAAGTGGCCAGGATAAGGTCAGGCCAGGATAGGTCAGTGGCCAGGATGGAAGGCCACCAGGATAGGTTATGGCCAGGATGGAAGGTCACTGTGATAGGGTCATACAGGATGGAAGGTCACTGGATAGGGTCATACAGACAAAGCGTCACCTCAGGATAGGGTCATACGGGATGGAAGGTCACCAGATAGGGTCATGTTGCATGTAGCGCCGCCCAGGATAGGCTTGGCCAGGATGGAAGGCCACCAGGATAGGTCATGGCTAGGATGAAGGTCACCAGGAGAGGGTCAAATATGACCAGAGAGGAGAGAGGGGGGGTAGGTTAGATCCTCTTGCTCAAACACAATACCACACAGGTCACTCACACACTCTCTCACACACACACACTCTCACACACACACACACACACACACACACACACACACACTCACTCACTCACTCACTCACTCACTCTGTCCTCGCCTTATCGTCGTCTCAGACTGGTATGTTCTTACAACTTCACTTAAGAGAAAATATCGTAAATTGTCATCGTTTTTGTGTCTGTATGTATCTAAGGAGAGAGAGAGAGAGAGGGAGAAAGAGAGGGGAGAGAGAGATAGAGAGAGAGAGAGACAGATAGAGAGAGAGAGAGAGAGAGATAGAGAGAGAGAGAGGGGGGGAAACAGAGAGGGAGAGAAGAGAGAGAGTTAATGTTCAATTTTCTTTTCATTATTATGTTAAAATATAATTTATTCTTTTATTATTTGTTAACTTGTGATTAATTGATGTTAATTATTTTAAGTTTTATCTCAGTGTTAATTTTGTCTCCTAATTGGTGTTAAAATGGAAGGTGTCTAATTAAGTGAATCAGATACGTTCTCACATCACCAGTTAGGAGGAAAATTGAACTTAGGAACCTTTGAGAATCCATCTTTGTGTGGTAGCTTAAGTGAGTCAGTTAGATACGTTCTCACATCACCAGTTAGGAGTAAAAATGAACCTTAGAACCTTGAGAATCCATCTTTGTGGTAGCTTAAGGAGTCAGTTAGATACGTTCTCACATCACCAGTTAGGAGGAAAACTTAACGTAGGAACCTTTGAGAATCCATCTTTGTGTGGTAGCTTAAGTGAGACAGTTAGATACGTTCTCACATCACCAGTTAGGAGGAAAACTTAACGTAGGAACCTTTGAGAATCCATCTTTGTATGGTAGCTTAAGTGAGTCAGTTAGATACGTTCTCACATCACCAGTTAGGAGGAAAATTGAACTTAGGAACCTTTGAGAATCCATCCTTGTGTGGTAGCTTAAGTGAGTCAGTTAGATACATTCTCACATCACCAGTTAGGAGGAAAATTGAACTTAGGAACCTTTGAGAATCCATCTTATAATCCCTTAACTTACGAGAAAGAGAGACAGTCATTTTAACATCACCTCCTAAGGTTAAAATTTGCATATAACCTTTTGAAATTCGTCTTGAGGTCACAGGTAAGATTGTAAAAGAAATTATAAAGGTGGTTTGGAAATAATTGTAAGTTATGGACAGACATGTCAGGTGAGTCTCAACTAGTGTCTGGTAGTGTATAGTAGTATTATAATTTGTAGTTATTATTATTATTATTATTATTATATTTTATTATTATTATTACCATTTTTATTATTATTATTATTATTATTATTATTATTATTATTACCATTTTTATTATTATTATTATTATTATTATTATTATTATTACCATTTTTTATTATTATTATTAATTATTATTATTATTATTATATTTGCTATATATATAACAACCCTCTTCCCATGATTATACATATTTAAATTCCTATAATATATAAAAAAAAGATTACTCTGATAATAACAAGATATAAATCAGCATTAAAATATAAACTAGCAACCTACAAAGGACCCTGGTATAAATAATTTTCAATAAACAAATAATTTAACCCTTCAAAATATTTATATCTTCTTATATGAAAATCCGGTTCTGTATTTTTTTATATAATGGAAGTAGTGAAGATGTATTGATGTTTTTGATTGGTTGTGTGTGTGTGTGTGTGTGTGTGTGTGTGTGTTTTTAGGGAGAGGGTAGAGAGAGAGATAAAGAGAGAGAGAGAGAGAGAGAGAGATAACAGTAATCTCATATCTCTCAATACTTTCGTCTTCATTAAAAATACTGATGGCAAGGTATTTAAAATAATCTTACCCCACACACACACAGACACACACACACAAAACCACACACACATACACATCAGATTTTTTCCCCATCCAATAATTTTAAAGCCGAGTTTTGTCCTAGCCAAGAATTTGTATAGCCAAGATTTATTAACCTTTGTTTAGTGTTTTAACCTCGAACTTTTTAAATTTAAGTTTAATTATTATTAGTAGTAGTATTAGTTTAGTGTTTCAACCTCGAACTTTTTAAAATTTAAGTTTTTATTTATTTAGTATTAGTTTAGTGTTTCAACCTCTACTGTAAAAATTAATTGAAATTATCAACAAATTAAACGTTATCTATTTCGTGTTTAGAAGCAAATATTGTCGATACAGTATCAAATGCCATTAATTTTTTCCTCATTATTAATATTTTCCGCAATTGCCGGATTATTTTGGGCATTTGGGGGCATTATTGGGTATTTGACACTTAAAATACCCCAGAAAATTAATCCTAGACTCTGAAAATGTCACATAAACGTAAGAAAAGGATTTGAATACCAATAAAATTCTCTGGTGACGAGTGATTACCAAGAGACGAGGATTGGCGGACGATTAGTAAGGAGTCCACAAATTCCCATCATCCCCCAATCAGTAATTTCCTCCCTGACTGAATAGCCAATCAGGTAAAGGAGTTTGTACGTGATTAACAAGACGTTGCCATTGGCCTGAGAGAGATTTGTAGGAGGTATTGTGGTTACATGATTTAGCTAAGCAGTCGCCGCCATCTTGAAAGGGTCGGCCATCATCGTTTCGCTTTTGTTTCTCCATTTATTTTATTTTTGTGCGGTGTTGCCAAATCTTTTCGTATGTGCGGTGTTGCCAAATCTTTTCGTATGTGCGGTGTTGCCAAATCTTTTCGTATGTGCGGTGTTGCCAAATCTTTTCGTATGTGCGGTGTTACAGACAGATGAGAACCAAATAAAACACAGACAGACAGAAACAGACAGATGAGAACCAACAAACACAGACAGACAGAAACAGACAGATGAGAACCAACAAACACAGACAGACAGAAACAGACAGATGAGGACCAACAAACACAGACAGACAGAAACAGACAGATGAGAACCACCAAACACAGACAGACAGAACAGACAGATGAGGACCAACAAACACAGACAGACAGACAGACAGATGAGAACCAACAAACACAGACAGACAGAAACAGACAGATGAGGACCAACAAACACAGACAGACAGAAGCAGACAGATGAGAACCAACAAACACACACAGACAGAAACAGACAGATGAGGACCAACAAACACAGACAGAAACAGACAGATGAGGACCAACAAACACACAGACAGACAGAAGTAGACAGATGAGGACCAACAAACACAGACAGACAGAAACAGACAGATGAGGATCAAACAAACACAGACAGACAGAAACAGACAGATGAGGACCAACAAACACAGACAGATGAAACAGACAGATGAGGACCAACAAATACAGACAGAAGCAGACAGATGAGAACCAACAAACACAGACAGACAGAAACAGATGATGAGGACCAACAAACACAGACAGAAACAGACAGATGAGAACCA